CCTGCCGCCCGAACGGGCACCCCCCTCCCGAACCGGCACCCCCAGCCCCGGTGGGACGGGCGCTGCCGCCGGAAGGCCGGGGAGCAGCAGCTCGCTGTTGGGAAATGACAGGGAGCAATTTGTCCGAGCTGTTATCACCGGTACGGCACGATGTATTTTTCAGCCTAGTTCCGCAGCATTTGAAATCTGCGTGATCATGCTGATGAGCTATTCTTCGTAGCTACTTAAATCTCTCAGAGGGAGAGTAGTCAGAGACGCTCCCTTAAGTTTGTGCTCCTGGTGGAGAGGAAACCAAAGTTTCTAACTGGAGTCGCCTTAAAAATACTCTATGGTTGCCAAGGTTGATGCATTTTCACGCACGGTAGAAATCATTCTGTTTACAGTATTTGGATTTTCCCTAACTCATCAGTATCCCCATAAAGTCGTTAGAGTCATCAATTATTTTATTTCTGTGTAAAGTAAGTGTCAAATGACAATCATGGGTTTTGGTGTGGTGTGTGGGTTTTTTGTTGGTTTTTTTTGTTGTTTGGTTGTTGTGTTTTTTTTTTTTCCCTATCTGCAAGCAAATCTCAACATCCCTGACTTAACTCCTTCAATTTTATAGCTGTTCCATTTAATCTTATTTATGGCTTTATTCCTTTTTTGATGTTGGGTAATTGTAATGCCCCTCTCCCTCAATACATGCTTAGAAATAGGTTTCAAGTGAGATAGCATCAATAGGATGATACATTTCTCTGTTTTAGGCTGGGATTCTGTTACCTACTGCACATAAATACATGTAGCGGTGTTCTACGTTTCTAAAGATTTTTGGCTTTTGTGAGTGAGAATTCTGACCTTCAAATCCACTAATTAGGGTGTTACACAGCAATAGTGTCGGAAAGAGGCAAATTTCCCTTATCTAGAATATTAAAGTGTGATGGAAAAAAATGTTCCTCCTAAGACTCGAGGTCAGCAAGCTGTTTAGAAGATCTTTTAACTCGGTGTGCTTTTCCCTCTGTTGACTTTGGATATGTCACCATGACCTCGGAAAATCCATGTGTTAGTGATGTGAAACAGTTCCCATTTTCAGAATGAAAAGTGGACTCATTATGAGGTAGTCTAGAAAATATAGCTAAAAGAAACAATCTGTGCCTGTCTAAATGTGGCAATCTGTAACTAGATTATACCTGAATGCTGTGTGAGATGACTAAGTTTCCATCGCCTTATGGATGTGGGTGTGAATTCACTTAAATGAAAAACTTTTTAACTAACTTCTCAGAAAGCAGTGATTGCCCTGAAGTCAGAGTGTCCCTGTTTACTGAGGACTCGTGACCCATTGTAAAATACTCTGAGCTTGCTTAGCTTCTATTTAATTTTACTAGCTACTTTTATAGATTTATTCAGCTTAACCCTATGCATCAAGATCTGTATGATACAGTATGAATATCTTACTTATTTGCTCAGTAATCCATAAAATTTCTTGGAAACAAAACAGATGTTTATAAAAAAAAGCTCAGATGATGTACAGTGACACTTTCTGTATTTCTCCAAAGAAGTTTGCCTAAAACCTTTTAATGACAAATTTTGTGCACATAGGTATTCGACTTGTCTAAGGACAAGAAAAGCCATATTACTCATATTCCTTTATTTGGTGCATGCCCTGATTTCATATACCATATAAAATCTTTAGACTGTGTCAGAACTATTGCAATGTACATTAATTTTTACAATAGTTTTACTGTAATTGAGCTGTCCTTGAAATAATTCTAGAGTGACTCTGCCTTGGTCTGTAGTATTTACCAGTTGTTTGTGCACTACTGAACTAGATAGCAAGCATTAATTCATTATCGGTCTTTATCTTTCATATTTCTGATATATTTGCTAAAAACATCACAATGCATGTGTATATTTTTAAGAATATCATAAAGGTGTAAGAGCTACAAGGAATGGGAATGGTTGTATTTACATCACTTCATGTAATAAAATGTACCCCGGATATAAAATTGCAGATTCAGTGTACATTATTAATATGCAAGGTAGTATGTATGGTGCAGCCTAATCAAATTTAACCAAGAAATATATACAATAATAAAGACATGAGTCACAGAAGCAGAGGTTTCTCTCTGTTTCCCAGGACTAGTCAGCCAACATCAATGGAGGTTACAAAAGATTAGGCCTTTTCATGTGGCCTTTTGGCAGTCCTCTGGCTCCAGCCTGAGCTGCTGCATGGAACAGTTGCCATTCTGCGCAGCATGTGCAGCAGAGTCTCCTTCAGGGAAGTTTGCAGAGCAACTTTCTTGCAACTGACAACTCTTGCAAGTGTCCTAGATTTTTTCATGATGCAACCTCTCTGTTATCAATGCTGTTTTAAAAGACAGCACTACGATGCTGTTTTGTGGCCTTTCAGAATCGACTCTTAGAAAAACATTCACAATTTTTCTTAAAGGATTAACATTTATAGTGAAAGATCTGCATATTTTTTAAAAATATCATGTAAAAAAAAGACTATTGGTGTAGTCAACTTCGGGAAATAACGAGCACATACATTATTTCTGTACATTGTTTTCTTCACCAATTCTGTCCTGTGCAGATTCTTAAATCTAGAACATGGTTAACAATAAAGTGTCATAAAAGATATATTTTTAATTCTAGATGTTGTGTATTATTCTCTGCCACACATTTAGAAATACGAAGGTAGTTAACAGAGGCAATGAGGTCAGGTCAGCCTTCTGTGTGAACATGTCAAAATGCTGAAGAAGTTAGGTTTGTCATAGTTTTGTCATGTGATTAAAGTTTGCAGGGTCAGGACTCACTGATACTGGCTGAAGTCTGAAGTACACTAAATATTTTAGTATCAGAAGAATTTACAAGTTGCAGGTTATGATATACTTTGTTACATGGGATTTTTCCGTATTTCTGAAGATGATTGAGTCTGCACACTTGATTTTCTTGAATGTTGTCATCACCAATTTAACAACAAGAAGACTCATTTACTGGGTTAGAAGTGATGCATATATCCATAAATTCCCGAATTTAAGGGAAATGTCAACCCTTCATCTTGTTTTGTTGTCAGTACTACTGTACCACTGAGGAGCCCCAGGCCTAGATTAGGGCTTGTACTGATAAACTGTAAGTGGTAGTCTATGTCTCAAAGAGTTGTGGGTTTCTTTATAATGTAAAGGCAGAAAGGTAGAAATGAGTAAATTCAAAAGAAAGGAATGAGATGATGGATTATGAAGGGAAAAAAATATTGATGGTATTATTTGGCATGAGAAGCAATGGACCTAACACAGAAGCAGTCTTATTCTTAGCAAGGTTTTGGATGCATCAAAGCAATGGAGAATTAGGGGCACAATTTCAATGAAAATGATGAGGCAGCTTTGCTAATAAGATCCTGAATGTGTGAAAGCAAAATAGGAGGACTGCAGATGTGTTAGTTTAAAGCTACAGTAACCCAAGCAGTGAGGAAAAATAATGTCTCAGGGCTGAAAAAGGAATGTGATTGGGAGGAGACAGCTTGTAAAGTACTTAAAACCTAATATAAATAGCTTATTTTCGGCAGGAAAAAAAAAAAAAAAAAAAAAAAAAAGCTGGAAGTGTGGTGTCATGAATAATGTGAACAAACAGAGACTGAATGAGTTGCAGAGTTCAGATCTATATCCGTATTTTCCCAGAGTTTTACATCTATTGTGTTACCTGTTGTCTTGATGGAAGTCACCATTCGGGTCAAGTCAGCCGGTGCTGACTCCATTTGCCAGTGCCTGCTGCCATGCAGCACCTGATGGATATATTCTTTCTCAAGCTCCGAAATTGTTTCTAAGCAGTATCTAATAAGCATGATGCTTTGTATCTTAACGATGCTCTTGTTACTTCCACTGCAACTGCATTGATTTTTACAGCTCTCCTACTGACAGAAGGAAGGCAAGGCAGGCTAGTTACATGCTGTAGATGTTCTCTGAACAGGTTAACACATGTTCATTACAGAAGCTGTTTATTTTCCATGTTTGCTTGTGCAAGCCTGAATTACTAGGTTCTGCAAATCAATGCTAACAACATGAGAAGCAAAAGCTATAGGTTTTAGAGCCGAAAGTGAGTTACATTTAATCAATATAAACAATGATATCTAGGGTCTTTTTGGCAATATCTGGAGGAAAATTAGAAACCCTGTGCCCCATCATTAGCCAGTTATACAATTTAAGGTTCTTTGGTGACTCCATTTAAATATTAATAACAAATAGGGCCATGCTATCATTAAATGGTCCTCACTTTAAATTTAGGAAAATCATAAGAATAAAAACAGCATATTCAATTTTTATTTATAACTTCTGATAGTGGTAGAATACTAGAATATCTAGTAAATCATTCTGTCTTTTGCATTATTTCCAATAAAAGGAATAATAGCAAAACAGGCTATGAAATAAAAGCAGAGTATACACGTTTTGTAAGTATTTTCAGTAAGATAATTTAATAGCTCAGAAAATGGTCAACAGTGAAAAATTGTTAGGCATCCACTAAGGTGGTTGTAGAGAGTCCTTTAAAGGTCACATTTCTGTTTGACTTGGTAATAAAATAATAAAACATTTATTTTTCAAGGTACTTTATCTGAACATTCAAAATGCAACTGAAATAAAACATAAAATAAGTAATATCTTTTCATTCCATT